ACCATCGGTAGACTCAATTAGAATTTCTATGCTTAACGGAAATTATTAGAAATTCATATTGTGTATGTGTCTCTGTTCCACATAATCTTATTATGCGAAATACACTCATTCAATATCTCGCCATATTAACAATGCGGATAACACCGTTCCATTCTAAATGGGAATGACATGTATTAGTAATGTTCTAATTAAAGATTCCAAACTTTAATTAGATTTATTACGAATATCACTTTTTGATTATTATCCTTAAACATTATCCTCTCGTATACAACACTTATATACCATGTTTAAGGTTACATAAATAATCACGAAATTTTTATTTGATATTCATAAAATATTCATAAATATATGCACATAAAATGATGAATAAACTCTTTTATTAATTAAATAATAAATATCCTATTACATCTCATGCTTCTAGGATACTATTCTCAACAAATTGAGATTGGATTGTTTTAGGAATAAGAATTGATCCTAAAGTGTTGTCTTGTATCAGTGATAGCTGAGGATTCAGACTGAGTGGCTGGAGGAAACAGAAGCTGAGATAGTGCACCGCTAGCCACATGTTTGGTAAATTCGAGGTAGGATTTCTACCCCTTTTCCTTGTGAGCCTGTTTTCAAAAAGGATTTTGGCCTTGGAAATGTTTTAAAGAAAGGAGTTGGTTGCGAAAGAAAAACTCTTTAAAAACCATGGCTTGTTTAGCTCGTGAAATCCATGGCTTGTCCTGTCCATGGAATCCATAGCTTGTGTAGTCATGGAACATCATGGCTTGTCTAGTCGTGGGGCCCGCAGCTTGAGTAGTTCGTGGGGTCATATTAACGATTTCATAATGTTAAATGAATGGTTTCTTAAGATAAGAGATCTTGTGAACCGGTAAGAATATATTGCTATAAGCCTAAAAAGGATGCGGATAGTGCATCCTCGGGGGCAGAACCTGAAACTCGGTCCGGGTAGGCGAGGCACTTGGTAGGTGAGTAATTTGTACTAATTACTTGCTGATGCCTGTAATACGGTTATTTTCAGTTATATTTCCTTTGAGAAAAAGGATGTGAGGTTCCGGCTGCCTGTCGGAACTGAATGTCTTATTTTATTTACTTATTCATTTATTTATTCGTTGCTCATTTATTATTCATTTAATTATACAGTCATTTCAAACTAAATCATACTGGGCCTTTCGCTCACATTTTATGTTTTAAATGTATTAAACCCCTCCCAGGAGATTTTAAGAGCGGTGCACAGTAGCTGGATATAGGGCTGTTCATAAACCCGAACAACCCGCAAACCCAACCCGCCCCGCCCCAACCCAAGCCGAAAAAAGCAACCCGCAGCATTATTTTTAAATTTGCGGCTCATTATACCTCTGGCCCGAAGTGTTTGGGGCGGATTGCGGGTTGGGCCCCTAACAACCCGCAATCCCCAACCCAACCCGCACAACATACCCCCAAGCTTCCGGCCCAAGCCGAACTGCCCAAGTTCTCCCCTAGGCTCGCTAACATTAGGGTTCACAATCTCATTCTCGGTCTCCCTCCCCATGAACCCCCTCTTATTGCCTCTTCCTTTTCAGTTTTCCCTCTTCTTCCCCTCCCGTGAACCCCCTCATAACTCTCTCCTCATTGCTCAGTCCTCTCGGCCGCCGTCTTGCCCACTTTCTCCGGTGCTCTCTCGCCGGACTAATAAGGATGGTTACTATTTCTATTTAATGATGAAGTTTGAATATTATATTGAACTTTAAGTCTTTGATTTTTTGAATGTTGAAACCGACCACCCAACCCACCCCGCACCGCCCCAACCCAACCCGAACATCGTTGGGTTGTGAAAGTTTTCTAACATCGTTGGGGCCAAATATGTGCAACCCGCACCCTTTGGGGCGGGGAAAAAAAAGTCCTACCCCACACCAACCCAACCCATGAACAGCCCTAGCTGGATATTTGCTACGGAGTAGCTGAGTTGTGCTACTGTTGGGACAAGAAGAGGACTGTGTTCACCCTCTGACATAAATGTGAGAAATCGAGAATTATGTAAACTCATGTAATATTTAGATTTACTAGACTGTGGTTGATGTCTGTTATAATTGATTATTTACATGTTTATATATGTACAATGTCATATATCCTGTGGGTGGAGCCCTATGTATTGTCAGAAACTCAGGATTTAAAAATTTATATTATATTTTAATAGAATTAAGTGTGACTCATTTAAAAATCTGCTTTATTAACTCCCATGAATAAGTAAATCACCATGACCGTTATATTCCCCTATGAATAAGTAAATCAGGGCATAAATGCAAAGCCACGGTACCTTTATATTAGTCATAAATTTTTGTTAATTTCACTACACTTTTCAACTCCCTCATGGATACGTAATCAGGACGTGAATGCAAAACCATGGCATCTAATCTTATTAATTTTTAACATTATTGTTATTTTACTACGTTTTTCAGTACTAATACTTTTCGACTTTTGAATCGGCATTTTAAAATATTTTTTTAATAATAACAAGAAACGAATCTGATTCCCTGAGAAAAGGAATTGGCATAATTTGTGCAGCAGCTGGAGGGTGACTCTCTTTTTGTAGTTCATCTTTTTAGCTCAATTTTAAATTATTAGTGCGTTTAATTAGTGAAATCATATTATAATTTAAATTATAATTTATAATTTATTATTTCATAAAAAATATTTATAAATTAAAAATAATTTTAAAATTATAAATTAAACGTTTGTTTGACGCTAGCTAGCACAAAGGAAGTTTCGCTGTTGAATACGTTTACAAAATTACAAATAAAAGTCAATGCCGTCTTGATGGCCTTAATATATCCTTGTCTTTATTTATTGCAGGAAGATAAGACAACCTCTTTAAGAAAAGAATCTTCAACCCACGTTTTATAATTACGATCCAACAATCTCTTTTAATTTAAAAGACAAAGAAATTGTTGATCAACCACGTTTCATAATTTGTAATCAAACGTGTACTACTGTCTACTATAGGAGTCAGCCTACCCAAGAGGACCGCAGGCTGCCTACCTTCTAGATCTCTGCACTGCGCACCTAAACCACCATCGACATATATATCTAATCTCCCACGTTTTTTTTTCACAAAATTAGATAATAATAAACGAACAAATAAATAAATAAGAGTAGTTCCGCGGTGGCAGAGAATTTTGCCTGCCAAATTTATCTTTGAAATGTACCTTTTGTTTTTCTATTCTTCTTTTTATTTTTAAATTGATTCTGTATTTCACGTTTATTAATTTGGTCTAACATCGCATAGAATAATCAATCAACGAAAAAAAAATATATTTTTTGTGTTTAGTAGCAAACTACAGAGGAATTAGGTATTATGACCTATTCTACTATGTTTGTAACCTAATTCTAGAAATTTTTTCCCTACTTAAAGGTTCACGTTTTCCTTTCTCTTGGATAAGTAACAAATGAACAAATTACGTGCTTAAATTCAATACATAAATAAAAATAATCAAAGAAGATTTCAAATATTGCATAAATTGACAAAAAGGCAAGCTTCCACGAAATTCAATGGATAATTAATATATTGCACATGGGCAAGGTTCAGAACTTAAAAGTCAAATATAGATATAACATTAGTAAATAATAGCGTTAGGAATAAAATAATGGCCTAAAGACCACTTCATAGGAAGGAGACAATAAATATTGATCCCTTAAAAAAAAAAAAAAATACTAGAACGTGAAACTGAACCACCACAGACGTCCCTACAGAGCCATTTTTTTGCTGTGTATATATGTAGCTAATTCATAAGGAAAAAGGAGGAAAAAAGCAACAAATTGCTTCAGCTCCTTTAAAAAAGGAAACGAGAGTATATTGTAACCTGTATTAAATAATAAATAATTTCCTTTAAAATAAGACGATTAATTATTAATAATATTATGGTCTTCGTTATCTTCTCTTCTTTGACATTTGTAAAGTTACTTCTCCAAGAGTCATCCTCTGAAAACGCGTCTAGGTGTGGCAAGCATAAGGGGACACAAATGTAATCCTGTGAATAAAAACACATGATTTATATCAAAAACGCGTAGTTGTTGATTTGATTTCAAACAGATAACACTTTTTTCTTTTTCTTTTTTTTTTTCCTTTTTCTGCAGGAAAATTCTGATTCCAAACAGCTTGTAATAATGCATTTCACTATTTTGCCGATATTCTTGAAACAAACAAACGTAAAAGTACTAGATCGAGATCTTATAACATCAAGTAGTACAATATTGAAATATCTTATTGTACAAAGGAAAGTAATTACTTTTGCCATCATTTTCCTACCAAGTTTTGCTTTAAGTTTAACCCTCATCATATCTCTCTGTTTTTCATGAAATTAGCAATATATATACGTTATACAGTGATTTAAAAAATAAAAATAAAAAATTTGAAAGATGTTATATTTCCAAGTTAAAGAAAAAAAAAATGAAAATGAAAGGTTTCACATGTTTCCCAACGAGACTATTAACTGTTAAAGAATCTGCCTATCTCGCTGGTCTCTTATTAATAGACTAGTTTCCATCACGCAATGTATTCATAACATAATTCACGTTTCCGTTTGATAGTGAAATTCCTTAAAATCAATAAAAACAAGTTATCAAAAAAAGGAATATGAAAGTAAATTTTAAAATTTCATTAATTTTATCGATTTAAATTTTATTATAATAAAAAAAATTTTAAAAATAATTACATTTAATTTTTTTATTAAAATAAAAAATTTTACATAAAATGATATTTTAACTCAAATTACAAAATAAAGAGACGTTTGGTTCATGAATTAAAATCATATAATTATAATAATTTTTTATTTACATATATTTTTATAAAAAAAATATTATAATAAATTATGAAGCATAATTTAAATCTTTCAACCACATCCTCGACATGACATGATCACTCATATTGGAGTTAAATTTTGATAAGACAAGGACACTGGGAACCCCTCTTCTCATAATCACACACATTAATGACAAAAGTACTAAAACAGAAAAATGTCGGTCGACTATGATTTAAGTTAAGAAAATATACATAACAAACATTTCTTTTTTTTTTTTTTTTTTAAAGTTGATTAGAAGTAATTTTTACGTGTGGGGTTACCTCTCTTTGCGCTTCTCCAAGAATCTCTGCAGTGACTTCCTACGTGCAATTGGCAGATCTGTGAAAAACCAATTCCATAATTCCCGTTATTAGAGAAATTAGTAATGTTTTAATATATATGAAAAATTAACACTATATACTCCTAATTGATTAAAAACTAATATTCGGAGAGAAAGTACTGACCACCGTCGAGATTATCAAGTAGCTGGGTGTCCGCCGTTGCCGATTCAACAGCCTTGGAGCTTCCTTCTATAGCAAGCTTCAGAATGCTCTCCGCCTATTCATACAAAATCAACAATATAATTTTTTAACATATACATAAAATGATTAAAAAAACAAACAAACAAAGGAAAACACAAAGAAAAAAGAGAGAGAGAGAGAGAGAGAGAAGCAATTTAATTAATTTAGAAATTAATAAACAGACCTTGGCGCGAGGAACATCAAAAACAGAGACGGTGCCGTTGTAGAAGATGGTGAGAGGAGCTGTAGTGCTTTCTCGATGAAGAATATTATTATTATTATTATTATCGTTTCGAACATACACAGGTAAAGCGGGAGACACAATTTGGTCGCCGTTTGGACTGGACGGCACAGACAACGATAACTCCGAATTAGATGATTTCTGGTTCGCCGACCCCGAGGCGATCACTGATTTCAGAAGCTCCGGGTTGATCTTCGAAATGGCGCTCTGAATCTCTGCAAATTAGTGTATAAAAAAAAAATTACATACAAATTAACAAAAATTTTATTATTAATTAATTTATAGAAAAAAAAAAAGACAGAATTCTGGATACGGAAACGAACCACGGAAACTTCTTTGGCGGTGAAGAAACTTCTTCCCCTTCTCCAACCCAAAGAAATCGAGCTCAACGGTTGCCCTTGACATGTTTAGCAGTTTTGTTTAGTTTTTCTTTTGTTTTTGGTTTAACTTTGTTGAAATGCGGAGGCGGGAGGTGATAAAGCTGGAAATGCAAGAAGTGCAGTGAATGAAAGGCACGGGATTCATATGATGTTGGATTAATGATGATATCAATTCATGTATATGTATTGGAGACACCCACGAGAAAAATCTATATGTATATATATATATATGAGTTAAGAGAGAGAAAAATAAATAAAGTTGTACTATTAAAAGAAAAAGAGAAAGAAGAGGGGTTGTTTGTATGGGAAGAGTGTGGGGTCTACTGCTTCTTTAATTAACACACGACTTCCACGAGGTTGTCTGTGTTGTCATCAATTGAAGGAACACCTCCCAAGCCTTCTTTTCAACTAATACACTTCTTTTTTTTTTTTTAAATAAAAAAGAAAAACATTTTTCTTTTTTTAAAAAAAAAGGTTGAATATTAATGCTATTTTTTTTGGCTAAAAAGAATATTAATGCTAGTTATTGTAATGTTGTTGGTTTCTGTCAACTTTCCCTGCCTAGTCTTCTTACTGACTTGACTGACTCATGTGCTTTTGATTTATTCTTGTTAGAATAGTCTTTTCTTTTGAAGCTTGGCTTTCTAACCTGACGGTTTTGCCCCCTCCATATTCTTTTCTTGAGAGAGAATTTATTATAACTACGATTTTTATTGAACATAGAACTTTTTTTATTGAATTATAACTACGATATAATATTACACAAGCAACATAAAAAATAGAGAATCTCTATTATATCAATTTCCATCAATAATTTTTTTTATTTTTTGGAAGCTTTTTATTAATGCTTAATATCTTTACTGGTAATCCATAGCTTTTTGATATTAAATTATATCAAAACCATATTATAAAACAAAAATTAATATATAAAACTGTCAAAATCTAAATTTGACGTTCAAAACAGGAGTAGTTGTGTAGTTTTTTTTTTTTTTTTTTCTTATTCATCCTACTATCCTTAAAAAAACAATAAATATTTTATCTCAAGTTCTACTTACGCGTGATTTGTTGTACTCGTGGTCTTGCTTTTCTAGATGCTCATAAAATAGACGACAATTCGTCAATTTCAAAGCTTTTACTTGCTTCTTCTTCTTCTTTTTATCCCCCCCTTGTTTTTTGAACATCTACTCCTTTTGCGATGTTCTTTACGTCCTTCTTTTGCCTATTACTTTCTAATTATTTGCGTGTTGCCAACGTATGAAATTAATCCTCCTGCTTTCTTTTATGTGCTTCCCTCGAAAGATTAGAGGAACTTTCATTATATCAAACACATCACTTAAAAAAAAACAAAAAACAAAAAACAAAAAAAAATCTCAATAAGAGATATATGCGTGCTTTGTTTTGTGTGCTTGGTTAGCAAGAGTTAGGTGAGGCCCACCCAATGTTGTATTTGTATAATAAATAATGTAAATTGCAAGATACAAGTTTGAGTCATGAATGTGTTTGATGCACAAACTTGACTACTACTCTTGTAAATGCATGAATTAAACGAGATGAATTAGGCCAACTGACAGACTTGACCATGTATGTAAGGCACATAAGTTACCCAAGGTTGAGGTAGGATGAGGATTGGTCCAATATTAGGTAAGTCTATTGAACAACAGTACATTGTCCTAAACTGCTGTGGGATATATATATATATATATTTCTTGGATGAATATACTTTTGTTATTACTATCATTATTATAAGTATAAGAGGAAAAGAGACAAATATATAAAGAGTGCATTGGTATATATTTTTATCATTTATTCTTTATTAATATTCTTTTTAGTCAAATAACTAATATATAGTCAAAAAGGTATTAATCAATAGTAAGAAGTAAAAATCTAGAATAATACACTTTAAAGATAAATTCAACAATTTTATCAAAATTTAATAATAATATGATATGGGGCACTTGCAATATTGTCATTTGTCAATATATGATTTACCATTGAGCATGTGGGTCTTCTAGGCTACTATTGTTCTTGCCTATGCCTCGGAAGGTGTCCTTCAGCTGCCTTTTGTAGTCAAACCTTTACCCAATCGCCACATTAGTCATTTAGTAGCATAAATAAATTATAATATTACAAAAGACAAAACGTAGAGCAACACCATCCTTCATCGTTAACTTCAATCAGATTTATATAAATCTAATGATTAAATCATGATTATATATCCATAAGAAAAATATTGTTATGCTATCATTCACAAGTATATATCCTACGTGATACATGATTATATGTGATCCACGTTACACATTCAGTATTTTTATTTTTATTTTTTTAGGGGAGTTGCACATTCAGTATTGATCTTGTCATTAACTAGTGTTATTCCAAAAGCTATAAAACGTAGGAGAATGATGCATAGCATTATTGCAAGTTGCAACTAGCACCATGGTATTATCTATTTTTTCTGTTTTCTTTTCTTATTCGCTGTATTTGCGTATGCATTATAAAAGTGAATAAATAAAAAATTAAGGCACTTCAGCTTTTCAGTATCTCTAGCATAATATTCATGTGAAATTATAGGAATACACAAGTAGCTTTACAGAAATGAAAAAAAAAATACAAAGTAAAATAAAGGCACTTAAGTATTTATGCATAATTCAATACACTGTATATGAACAGAATCATGTTATGATGGTTTCAAAAGCACATATAAAAAATTTAATATGATGCACCGCAAACGATTTTCTTATGCGTACGGAAGTGTAGGTAAGATTTTGAAACGGTGGAATATTGTTAGGAAAAATAGAGATTATTGCCATTTTTAATATGGTATTGACCCATTCCAATGATCGAAAATAAAGCAAAGTGCCAATATCGACACATTTTTTTTTTTTCTTTTTCCATAAATGAAATTCTCCGAAAAGAGATTTTGTGGGGTGAAAGAAATATGTTTGCGCAAAAAAATAAATGCTCTGCTGTCGTGCATTAGCGGCGTGTAACGCGGACGCAAACGAAGAAATTAAGAAGCACGTGACTGAAATTAGCCTAGGACACTTATAAAATTTAAAAACAAAAGGTTAAAATAAAAATAAAAAAATTGGCTAGGAATTTAGGATACATTGTGCCCACGTTTTCATTTATGTTTCCCTATCTTTTTATTTTGGTAATTTATATATATCCAATTTCATGGCTTCTTTTAGAAAAAATTTCATTTTAGTACCATTTGTTATATCAAAATTTGAGTTTGGTATCTTCTGTTTTTAAAAATTTCATGTCAGTACATCAATTTTTTTAAAAATCTTTTTTTAATACATCGGAGTCATTTTTTTAGACACGAAAAGATAAAATTACACTTATTGTAAAAATTAATATTTTGACCAAAAATTTTGAAGAAAAAAAAAAGATTTCAAAAATTGTTATACCTATAGAGCATAATCCTTTTTTAAAAATTCATCTCTTCAAAATCTTTTTTTTTCTTTCAAAATTATAGTCAACAGATGAATTTTTAAAATAAAGAGAATTTTATCTTTTTGTCTTTCAAAAAATGACTCTAAAATACTAAAAAAAGATTTTTTTAAAAGGTCAAGATATTAATATAAAATTTTTAAAAATAAAAAATACTAAACTCAAATTTTAATATAAAAGAGAGTACCAAATTAAAATTTTCCCTTCTTTTATTAGGCTCAAGGTAAAAGTTGTTGTCCACTACTCAACCGTCTAACAAATTACCTCCCAATTCCCACGAAACCAAACCCATTATTTCTTTATTATTAAAATAACTGGACCAAGTCAGACAAGCAGAACAACCGCTTGATTGTAAAATTCGTCTTAACCGCACCCCACATAAGATCCGTTGTGAGTTTGCTTAGCCAAAAAAGAAGAAGGAAAAAGATGTGGTGTGATTATTTTTTTGGTATCATTATGGTGGAGTAGATTTTTTTTTTAACCTAGTGGGAAAACCGTTGAGAACTGTTACTTTTTATCGTCAAATTAATTTTTTGGCAGTTAAATTAATTAGATCAATCCTTTATTAATGGTTGTGAATGAATGATTTTTCTTAATTTTTTCAACTTTAGTTCCGTATAAACAAGTCAGAAAGATTGAGAAATAGAACTATCTGATTTGATTCGTTATTAATAGTCATGAGATGATCATCTTAGGGTGATCCTTTTGTCGATAGATATTTATATCGGTAGAGCAAAATAATATTTTTTACCATAAAACATTATCTTTTTCTTTTGATTTTGTAATTTGTTTTGGCAATGAATATATATAATCTCGTTCCCAAAAAAGAAAAGTATATAACTGCGTTTGTCTTGCTAATTAAGATTTTACAAAATTCTAATTGCATCCATTTTAAAACGGATTTTAGTTGATTGAAGTAAATAACATATTTATGATAAATATATATTTAAGTTAGATACTATTTTCAATAATATTTATTTCGTCTTACGTTTTTTTGCGTAATCTAAAATTTTAAAGTTAAAGGTTCATGCCCCATTAATTTCACTAATTTGAGTTTAAAATTTGAGTTTTGTTACAGTAAAAAACTCTAAGAGACAGTCACATTTTTTTTTACTACAGTAAAAAGTTTTTACATAAAATCACATCTCAACTCAAATTAAAAATTCGAATCAGTGAAATAAATAAACTCTTAATTTGCATAGCAAACATCACATTACACGGTATAACATTGGTATAGTTATGCATTTAATTTTTTCAATCGTAATTTAAAAACTCCTCCAACACACTTGTGGTTTGACGAAATTTTCTTAATAAATACTCGCCAAAACAGTTCTTCACTCTAACCATATAAAATGCAACTTCTCCCAACGTCTCTACTTTTTATAATCATTCAACGTTATCTACTAATATGGATTTCTTCCAAAAGATAAAAGGAAAAAAATAACTATAAGTTAAGGAAAACCAAGAGCTTGTAAAGTTTCCTTTGGTGATGTACTATACTTGATTTCCAAATATTATTTAGTTTTCGTGAAATTGTAGTTGTCGATTAATAATTTTATTTGGCGCCTAATAATGTGATTTGTCCAAATAATATTTTAAAAAATGAAAAAAAAGAAGGAAAAATTGAGAACAAAAATAGAATAGAGAGTTAGAGCGTGTGGGCCCACCGTGAAGTTGGGTGGAAATTTCACCTAATAGTCAAGTGTTGGAAGTGGGCCCAAATCGCACCGCTCACGCAACATAGTACTATTGTTA